CCTAAGAAAATAGAAAGCTGTCGTATGTACCGGGAATGCCTAGTGGACTGTACAGTGCCATATTCTGCCTTGGAGGTTTGCATCTCACTGTGGTGGTTATTCTCACAGGTATGGATATGAGTTGCACAGTTCAATTCTCAGTGCCTTTCAGGTTGGTCTGATATTAATATGGCAGGGTGTTGGAGGATTTTTTTTAATATTTCAGTTTAAAGCTCATCTTATATGAAATGCTATGCTTTTATGCTTTGTTTTTATTTCCAGTTGTACAGTTTTGGTGTTTTTCTAATGAACTTCCCTTGCCATTACAAAAAAGTTCTACTTCTTTAGCACCAATGCGCAAGAAACTAGTTATATGAATCAGTATAACAAAATAAAGCTCTTTCATAGACCTGTAATTTTTCCAAGTAAGACAAATACTGCTAAGAAGCAAACTTTCAACAAAGGAATGAATGATGTCTTGGAAAATAACTGACGAAATAATGTAGGGCTATAGGTATTTAGCTTAATGCTTAAGTTCAACAAGTCTTCTCAGAAATAATTTTAAGTGTATATAACTGGAAACATTACCTCCCCTAATTCTGAAATGCCAAATGTAAAATCCCACCTATTCATCCTTTCTTTCACGCTTGTGTCAGGCGCACCAGTTGGGGCTAACTGTCACGATGTCACTTCCCAAATTAATTTGTAAATAGACCAGGGTACTTTCCAGTAAGGAATAAAATTAACAGTGTGTGTTGCTTATAAACGGCATATGGAAAATATGCCCTACTTCTGCTAAGTATAAGGAACTAAATGAATAGTATGCAGATGATACAGTGGCACTGGAAAACATTTAATTTGAAATTATTCGCTACAGCACCACTATCTACTTATGCAATGAAATCTCATCAAATTACTTGATTGGCAGCATTCTCCTACCCTTTCTAAAACTTGTTATTTTACATTAAAAATAGTGCTTTCCAGGGGAACGTCCACATAGGAAACATAGATGGGTTTTGAGCAGTGAAGCTTAATAATTAAGAATTATGCAAATAATTTAGCTCTAGAAACTACAGGTATTTTTAGCTAGTTAATAGGCAAAATTTTAGTTTATGTTTAATAGTGAAGTTCTTGGCTGGAAATAAAGCTGCAAACAAAATCGGAAGCCTTATTGCAAATCTACGGAGGAGGGGGCGTATTCTGTCCTGTGACCCACCCGCTTGTGACTCTCGCTGCGTTATCTGAGGGCTGTAAACGGCTCCAAAGGTCTGAGCCTGAATTCCCTCGGTGGAGGCATTGCATTAGGCTTTCGCAGGCAAACCAAGACTTATAGCAGATGTGGAGGGTAATGGTTTTATGTGAATAGCAAAACCATAAGGGAACAACCTTAAATGACTGAAAACAGGCATTGTTTGGTATTACTGCGATGATCTCACATCTGCATTCTTCAGGTAAAAGTCAAAGCCACAGACACATAGTCAAGAATAACCTAACTCTTGTGAATGGGGTGGGAGAAGGAGAATGAAAAACATTTGTTCTCATAGTATTCAAAATCTGATAGAAACAAATCTCCAGCATCTTCAAAAGGCAAAATCCAAACCCTCAAGTTGCATCAGTAGATTCCTGGAATCTTACATTTTATAACCTTGTGTTTGATTCAGTGTTGTAGTGATTGCCCCATGAACAGAGTGTTTGCTTTACACACCTCACTGTCCAAGTGGCACCAGTATTTTTTTTTTTATCTTTTCAGAAGTTACCATGATTCAGAGGCCAGCAATTGCAAAACATTTCCAAAAGGAGGTCCGCTCTTCAGAATTAGCATGCATTTTCAACCAAAAATACATCCTTCACCTCAGTCCTAGTAATTCTGGACAAAGGACTACTTTATTATTAAAGGACTAAGAGTTTTAGAAGCCATGTAAGAAAAGACTTTGAGAATATAAAAAGCCTAAACCAGCAATTCCTTCTGTTGAATTCAATAGTTTCACCAACTTTTCACTAGCATATATGGAAACGAACTGATGGTTTCAGTCTAATTTCACATTATGCTACAACTGGTAGTATTCAAAAAAAAAAACAACTAAAAAGTAGAAAAGTTGAGAAACTGAACTGTTTGTGTTTAAGATAAAGTCTACAAGCCTATCAATTTTCAGATTAGAAGAAAAGGCATTTTTCTTCCACTTAATGAACATTTTCTTATTTCAAAGCCACCCTACACTCTTTGACCTGTACAGTATTTTACAGAGCCCTTCCTGATAGTTCTCAGAAGAACATATTGGTGTTAGCACTACAAATGGGGTATTGGGAGGAAAAACATGGAAATGAGTGAACTCTTCTCTCCAGGAGGAGGGTTACCATATAAATACTACATCAGAAAAGAGAGTGAATTTGAATAATTTTATATCAAATCAAGTATGTGTTGAAGGCATTTAAGTTAGCCACAAAAGTTGTAATCTAATAAGTTGGAGTTATTTCTGTTATCTTCTGGTTTATGATAATATCCATTGTGGCCAGTTTAATGGCAATGAGACTTTCAGTGCTTTCTTTCCAATAATGTGATACATGCAATTAAAATGAGCAGTCAGACTTAGGCTAGTTTCTTTGGTTTATGAGAACCACAGAACATAGGAGAAAAATAGCAATGTTACGAACATACTGAAAAGCCTAAATTCTACTCTGTCATGATTTTGATTGAAAGAATGCAGTCTCTAGTTACTAAGCCCCATTAATGCACAATTTTCCAAAGGTCCTTAAAGTGCAAACTTACAGTCAAGCCTTTATTCATCTGCATACATAATCCACTGTGCTAGAAGTAATAACAAATCTTTCGGATTCAAAGTTTGACTTTTTGTGAACTTGCTGGAAAGACTGGACAAACAGCTGGAAGAATAAATAAAAGTTGACTATATCATACATAGTTTGGCCTTCACTGATCTTTCTGTTGTGCTGGTCATCACTTCGTTGATCAGCACGTTCTGTTTGCTGAATCGGCAATGTTTTCGGTATCTCTGTGTCCTTGAACATCCTCCTTTTCAAATATGAAGTAGACTTGACTGAGATTTCGAGAAGAAATCATTGCTAGAATTAGCACGGATCTCCTACAGTTTGTTAGACCCTCACTAGGCGTGTTTCTATGTGTGTTTCCTTCTTCTCATCCCGTCTGGCACTTGCAGCAATAAGCATCTTTGCTGAATCAGTCAGAAGACGAGATTTAGCAATGAAGCGCAGGACCTTAAGTCTCACTTCAGGTCGTTTTACACAAAGAGACTTCTTACCTAGGCAAGAGGGGAATAGGTTTGGTTAGTCTCTGTCAAGCAGTGCCTCCTAATACAAGGCTGGAGGTGTAGCGAAGGTCAAAAACCTGTTTAAGTGGTGAGTAGAGACTGCTGCTTGAACATCCTCCTCCTCCTGTGTCAGTACCCTTAACAACCGGAGAAGCAGCAGGCAGTAGAAACCTGTGGCAGCATGCGAGGGTCACCCCTGCAGGTCTGAAATACGTTTCGAATACCACGTCTACGCGGCAGAGGTACATGGAGATGAAGGGGTAGTGTCCTCTGTCAGTGGAGAAGGGGAGTTTCTCACCTTTCCGGCTTTGTGAGAAAGGCATGCTGCGAGAAGGTAACGAGCTTTGGACACAGCTTCTGACCATGACTGTTAATTACAGGGTGCTGTCCCTGCCCTGTGAAGCAAATGAAATCTGTGACCAAACTTGACTGCTAGTGAATGCTCTTCCCTTAAATTACTTATGTCTCTGTAATTGACGTATTGTAACGCTCATTAATCCTAAAGGTTACACTGTTTCTTACTTCGTAAGTGTTACTGAAAATCCCTTAAGTCATCTCCTTTTCAGTTTTTGTTTTCAGGTGTCTGTAATGTTCTGGGACAATTTTGTTTCATCCTCACTGCTATTTTTAGCAACTTCGAGGTTTATGTTTTAACAAGGCAACCAGTAGTTGTTGCAAGTGTGTGCCAGCATCGTATGGGCCTACATTAAATACAGAATGATTTGATGTAAAAATAATCAGTCTTACTCTAGAAACTGTTTTTTATTTATTAAGCTAAGTATTGTATTCTTCACAACGGAATAATTCTGAGAAAATACTCTGTTGTTACCCAGAACAGAGAGGATAATTATGCTGATGGCACTGGATACATTTTTTGCACCAAATCTTGGTTTAATTTGCATCTTAGCATCAGCAGGGGGAAAGTGTATTCTCCTTTTCTGAAGGAAGCCTGCACCTAAATAAACCATTGATCAGGCTATATCTTTTCCTGTTTGTACTTCGAAACAATAGGGTTCGTCCCTATGGGCAAAGCCAGTAAAAATCTGAACAATGTACATCAACGGTACAGGTTTTTGTAATTTCTTTTTTTTTAACTGACTTCTGTAGATCCTGAGAATAATTTCAAACTTTGCGCTGGGGGAAGGTAAACAACACAAATATCAGAACCATGCAA